CCACCTGAATGTCCCCCCTGCACGTCCACCTACATGCTTTCAAAAGGATTAAGCTCCAGTGGCCACAAGAGCCAGGGCCGGGCTCCGTATCCCATGGAGACTGGAAGGGCCCGGCTGCAGCTGGAGAGGCCCAACGGCTGGTGCCAGATCGATTTCACATTCTTTCTGAACACCAGACATGGAGTCAGGTTCAACCCGGCCCCTGCTCCACAGCTAAAGTAATTACTGGGGGCCAAGATTAGCAGGTGGGAAACACATTGGTAGCAAAGGCCAGGAAAGGCTCTTCCCATCCGTTCTCCGAGCCTCTAATTACTTGACGACAAGCATGTCGTTGGTTTTTTTTTGTTTTGTTTTTTTTTATGAGGGGAGGGGTGCTAGGAGGGTGCAGTGCAACAGCCAGAGTTTCCTATTTAGGTAAGGTGACCAGATTTTAACATTGGTAAAGCGGGACACCATTGATAAAACTCATATCCTGGCGAAGTAGCCACATGGCAGCCGAAAACCATAAACCCTAGCTTGTCATGCATTCTTTCCAAAAATCGGGACTTTTTAAAAATGCCGCAGGACGCAGGAAAAATTGTTAAAAATCGGGACTGTCCCGCCAAAAGCGGGACGTCTGCTCACCTTATATTTGGGGGGCACACACAGTTCTAGGGTATGCAAGCACTTCCCCTAAAGCGCCTTCAAAACAAAGGTCCTGACAGTGGTGGTGGCAGGCAGCTGACCCACAAGCCAGACCCAGATGAGAGGACAAGTCCAAGGCCCTTGGGCCACCAGCTGTTTAGCACCTCTCACAGGAGCTTGCCTCGGAGATGAAAAGCAAAGGGTTTTCGAACAAGACCTCTGGGTGTACGCTGGGATTTCAATGCCAAGTCCCTAGAACTACTGTTCCACAAGTCAGGTGAAGCGGTGTACCTCCCCACCAAGAACAAAACAAACGAAACCCCCACAGCCGCCAAGTCATTCGGACCCACGTAGACCCTACACAGCAGCGGGGCTCAACCTGGGGTTCGCACGACCCTTCCACAGGGGTCGCCTAAGACCATCGGAAAACACAAATATTTCACAATATATAATTGCATACTGTTTTATGATTAATCACTATGCTTCAATAATGTTTAATGATGTTCAATTTGTAACAATGAAAATACACCCTGCATATCATATATTTACACGACGATTTATAATACAAAATTATAATCAAGAAGTAGCAACGAAAATAATTTGATGGTTGGGGGTCACCACCACATGAGCAGCTGTTTGCAAGTGCCGTGGCATGAGGAGGCTTGAGAACCACCGCCCTAGAGGGTCTCCAAGGTCTTAAATCTCGGTAGGGAGCAGATCGCTTTGTATCTTCCCAGGAGCAGCTGGAGAGTTTGAAGCACCAACCTTGTAAACAGCCTAATGCTTACTGGACAGCAGAGGAGGGCCCCTCGTACTATCAACCATCCCTTGTCCTTGACTTCTGGCCGCAGCCCTACAGAACAGGGTAGAACCACTCCTAGGGTTTCCAAGGCTAATCTCTACAGGAGCAGACTGCTTCATTTTTCTCCCAGGGAGCAGCTGGTGGGTTTGAACAGCCAACCCTTTTGGTTCGCATTCAAGTGCTTAACCCCCTACTCTACCAGGCTTCTTTATAAAAGACCACATCTCACAAATTCTTCAGCTGGGATTGCAGGGAGCGGCTCTAGTCCTTGTTTTTAAAACACCAGCCTGTAAAACCAGAACACCAAGTAAAGTGGTCGGGGTAGAGGGGGTAAATGTCATTCTAGTATCACACTGACCGCAACGTCAATGCCTTATAGTTATACGGGGATCAGAAACTGTATAGAGCAGCTGCCAAGAAGGAACTTGCTTGCTCCTTCCCATCATTAAGTCGTTAAACTCTCAACAACCAAAGGAGAGGGGTAATTCTTCATCCCATTGTACAGATGTGGACACTCTTAGACCGAGGCACTGGACATAACCAATATGGCTGACATGGACTGGACTCCATTCTGCCCGAGGCACCTGCTTCTGTTTTTAGAGTGTGTGGCCATACTCTAGACCAGCGGTTCTCAACCCGTGGGTCTCGACCCCTTTGGGGG